AAAAATTGTTTATATTTATTTTTTATACATAATTCTTTGTTTATATGTTATGCACACATTTAATTATACATACCCTGATGGAAATATTTTGCTGAAAGTACTATGAAATCAATGAAAAGTAAAATGAAAGTTTTTGAAAAATTACTGAATATATTTCAAAATAAATCATAATTTTTTGTATGAAAATTTAATGTAATACTATGAAATATAAGGAAAGTTAACCCTTAATCCCGACGGTTTTTTTCGGCACCTTTAATCCCGACTCATGGGTCGCTTTGCGTCTTTGCGTTATTTGGATCAGTAAAAACGCTTTAAAAAATCTGAAAAAATTCATGAAGCTTCTTTCAACCTTCAACTTGAAGTCCCAATTATAATATTTCGATAAAAATTATTTTTTTATATAGTTTGTTATTAAGAAATGGAGGTACCTTACAGCACTTTGAAATTTCGCTTGGGTCGAAAACGACCCATGAGTCGGGATTAAGGGTTAAAATATACTGCTGAAAAGTAATAAAAGAGTTTTGAGATAATTATCATAAAATTTACTGAATTAAACTAAAAACTGTTACTTTTTAATGAAAAATTGCTGAAATATTTATGAAATTAATTAATGGGGTCAATTGAGAGAAATTTTCAAATACATTTCAGCAAAATTTCGTTAAATTTTCAGAAAAATATTTTTATTAAGGTACCCGAATCTTCTGCAACATAACTATGAGATTGGATAAATCCGTCTGATGCTGTACATATATGAGACCTAGTTCTTCAATTACAAGTGTACTGGTTTATTAGATTCTGTAATTTCCCATACATTTGTGTTGCACTTTCTACGTCACCAATTTCTAAATACAAATTAGTATTCATATATGTCATCACCTTGAAATAAAGATTATGACATAAGCAAAGCTAAAATTGTAAATTTATTTTATTCCTTTTTCTTCCATTAGTAATATTATCATTATTAATAAAATTATAAATAATATTAATAAAATCATATTAATAAAATATGCTCCATATTGTCATAACACATATTAGCTAGCATCTACAACTGATTTTCTGTTATCTATTATCTTCATTAACTATTACTATAAAATATAAATAATTGCTAACCTCTACAGGACTTTTCTTCGTATATTCATCAATACCATATTTTGCAATATTAATTATAGGACAGTCATTTGTACCGACTGTTTGTTCATTACGCATGAATTCAATGTCAAAACATTCTTCTTCTTTGAGATTTGTGGTATGACTGTGATAAAAAAGATATACGTATAAATATGATAAGGATGAAAATTTAGGCTTGCATTAAAATTATACTTATACTATTTCGCTCTCCAGCATAAGAAGAACTCCTCCTTAAATTTGTGGAATATTATATCGCAGCGTATTCCAAGTCTTCTCGCCACACTATGATATATTGTTGCCAGAATTACAGTGGTACCAATTTTATGTTTAAAAACCTGTCACAAATTACAATAAAAAATATTAATATTAAGACATAACATGCAAAGAACTGTGCTGACAACGTTAAGTATTCATAATGTATTATAATTTATAACTTACGTAATCTAATCTGCAAGAGTATTTGAGAATGTTACTCTCAGTTCCACGAAAACGTAATTTATCATATAAAACTTTACAAAGACTCTCTATAATCTGTCTTCCTTCTATGCTATTCCAATGATTATCATCGATATTATTGTTTTCCCAAAAAGAAAGCTGCTCTTCTGATATTGAGCATATTGGATGCGCAGGATATTCATTTCGAAGGCACTCCAATACCTGCTCTGTAATCTTATGCAGTGACGTACTCACATACAAGTAAGACATATATTTCTGGTTCTGGCGTTGATACACGAGTTGATACCATTGTGCTACAATAAAGACTGCTTTTTCTAAAATCTGTTGTTTCTCAGGATAATTTAGAAATTCGTGCACCTTCTTCTTTAAACGATAATACTGCAGGTATGAAAGAAGATTTTCTTGCGTGATATCTTTGTGTGAAATCAGATTCTCTAAAACATTTTGTATACAATATTTAAAATCTAATATTTTCTTAATTAAATATGCAATAAATGCGTTATAATCTGCTGTTTTAACAATTTGTTAAATCTTACATTAGAGGATCTGTAAGCAAGCTTCTCAGCTCATTTACAATGAAATAATAATTCATAAAATATGCGCCTGTATCTGGATCAAACGGTGAACAATAATACCTAAATTCAACATAATCATAATCTCCGTAATTTTCGTAATAATAATCTTCGAAATTTTTGTAATACCAATTTTCGTAATAATCGTAATAATAATCGTGTCTACTAGATTTCACCGACAAGTAATGCCATAATTCTTTCTTACATTTTACACCTGCTTTTACTTGTTCAAGAAAACCTTTATTTTCTAGGCACAGCTGTTCGTCATATTCTTCTCTTAGATGAGGCCATCTAAAATTAAAACAAAAAATACATGTCATTTTCCAAAGTTATATAATTTTACACATTTTACAGTTCCTTTATATAATTTTTCAAAATTATACAAGCCAAATAAAGTTATTGTAACCGAAATGAAAATTTTAAAACATACGTTACTATACATTTCAAATTTTGACTAAAATAAAAAATTTATTCAAGGTAAATGAAATAAGATATTTGCTTATCACTAAACTTGCATCCCGAATAAGATAAATTAAGCTTGTTTGCATAAAAACCAATGTGAAAAAATACCTCTGATAAAATTTCTTCTGCCAAAGTTCATTATTAGTGGTTAATAAATTGTAAAATTTGTTGCATGAGAGAGCTAAACTTATAATATCCTTAAAGCTGATGCTCTTATTGCACAAGATGATAATAATCACATCAATGGGTAAGTCCGTTATTATAGCCATTGCATAGACAGTTCAGCAAAGTACGAAAGAGCCTGAAATTCACAATAACGGCAAGTATGTCCGTTATTAAACGTTGTACAACTAATTTCGTATTATTTACAAATGTGCAAAACATATCACTCAAGGTGCCTTTTTACGTTGACGTTCAATTTCAGCGGTAAACAACACGTGACCGATAATGACCAACTGCTACAGCAGTTTTTGGTCACGTGAGTTCTCTTAACCAGTGATGCGCTGTCGTGGGAATAAAGTTGCGTCTGCGCACTAAGCAAACGCTTTGAACCCTCAGTAATTCACCCTCTTCTTTCACAATGGGCTTGTTCGTTTTAGCTACACTGAGGCTGCTCTGGGTCTGCTCTACACAGGATAATACAGGACAGATAAATAGTTTGTCTTGTATTATCTTGTTTAGAGCAGACCCAGAGCTGCCCCAGTGCAGCTAAAACGAACAAGCCCAATATCAGCTGATTTCAATTGTAATTGATTATAATGCACTATAATATGTCGTGTGTCATCAAAAACGCGGGAAAACTATCATATCCCCTATAGTACACCTAGATACATCTGTGGTAGCAGCCGACGTCTAGCTGTGACGTCAGCTTACGCATGCGCACGGAGGT